TAAGTATCGTCTGCCACGTGTGACGGCGTAAGCATCGTCTGCCAGAGTCAAATTTTCAAATTCAATCATTGCCGAGGTGTCAACCGAAACGGTTGGCAGACGTTCAGTGACTTTATCTACTACTAGTGCATTTATATGAAAGTTAACATTACGATCTATCCGAGAATAAAATTTTAAATTTATATATCCCTGGGTAACTTTATTAGTACCTACGATGCCTTTGACTACGGGACATTAAGGTGTCCTATTTATTACCAATCCTAAGCACTGACAACATTGTCGCGTTATAAAGCTATTTTGGGATCCGCTGTCTAGCAATGTACGGACGCTTTGTTCGTTTCCACGCGAATCCCTAACCACGATACGTGCCGTACCCAGTAACATGGTTGAAGGAACTCTTCAGGACCTCTCCGTGTTTGCTCCCATATTTGCCAATGAGCACAGAGCGACATCACCAGGTCGACCGCTAGAATCGTCGACTTTAGTAGGTGTGATTTCCTTGTCTGATTTACTTGACGCAAATATGTTGCTGTTTTCGAAATGTAATAACGTGTGATGTTTTCTGGCGCACTTGTTACACACGGAACTAGAATTGCATTTAGCTACTAAATGTCTATCGCTTAGACAATTCAAACATAAGTTGTTTGTCCTTACTATTCTATAACGTTCGCTGGCTGAATGTTTACGAAAGGTCGCACAATTGTATTAATTACGTGTTGTTTATTTTTACATAGAACACAGGCGCTATGGGGCGATACAAGCGCGGCGGTTACGTACGTTAGAGACCCTGCGGTTTAAGATGATGGAGTCTGTCTGCGGTCGACACCTTTTCTTAACTTTTTGTTTAACGTTCGAGGAGCGCTGTATCACTTTAATTTGGTCTCGCACAAAGGATGCTAATAAATCAAATGAGGGCAACTCTGAACTATGATGCTCCATTTCAAACGCACGCAAGGTGTCGGGGTCTAGTTTCTTTAGTGCAATATGGAGAAACACCACGTCCATAAGGTCGTTAAATTTCATGTTCTTAAGTGCAGTCACCGATGCTACAAATTTATCTAAAAACTGCTCTAAGCCGGTGATGTTCGCGGATATTATAGGTTTAATATCAAATATTTAGTATAAATATGAAGAGGCTAACATTCGCTTATCTTCATATTTGTCCTTAAGTGTTTCGAATATTAACAAATAATTATTTGCTGTTGGTGTGAAACCCGAGCAAATATTATAAATAATATAATTTTTCAGCGTCCGATAACGATGGATTATTATGTATATTGTTTTGAAATCTACGAAAGAAGAAGGGCCATATCTTAATATCGCCATTGAATACCGGAATATCTATTGAGGGCAATCTAAGTGAATCACGTGGGCGTACCTGGGCTTCCGGCTTTGCTTCGCTTTGAGATGGGGACTGCAAGAGCCGTTCTTTTCACGCGACACGACATATCTTCAAATGCTAGAAGCGGCTGGTAGTTTACTGTATACTTAGGGTCGATTTGTAATTCCAAATTATTAATTTGGTCTAATATCTTTTCGTAATCTGTCCGCAAAGAATCCACCGTTTCTATTTCACATAAAAACGTTTCCCGCACTGCTTCTATGTTAACGTTCTTTATGTGATCACTAATACATTGTACACGTGAGAAGAGTATGTCCCTCTTGACGTAAAGAGTTTTAAGTTTAATTTCATTTCCACTAACTGCCATTTTAAATTACTAGAATTAATATTAGATTAATCACAATTAATCGCACAACGCTGGAGGATGGACGCAATGTAATACAACTATATCTCACAACACTATTTTCTTATTGTGCCGTATTATGTCGTTAAATTGAACACCTTTACAACGAGCCGAGGTGACGCGTGTCGGTCGCTAAACTCACACTGGTTTTTTTTACAAACTGTCAGATACACCGAATGACCGTGCGGAACTAAACTATTTTGTAAGAATGATTCTATTTGCGAATAAGTAACCAAAGTTTAAATTTAAACTAAACAAACACTATTTAAATCTATTCAATATTAAATTAGAGTGCATTGTCTAAGGAATTAATCTAACAATTCGATGATTGAATGGACGGTGAGGCTATAAGCACCAGTCCAAATCCGGCTGAATGACCAGAAAATGGTTGAGCGGCGGGCCTATTCCCCGGTCGAGCCTTTACCCTAGTACGCGAGATGTTACACTATGTGGACTGTATACGCGGATGATGCTTAAACTAGATGGCGGATTTGGCACGTGGTTCCCCAACAATGCACTCGTTCTTCCAAGAAAACCCATTGCTTGCCAATGGTTATGAAGGAACCCATGCTTGACCACATTAGGAGGAATGACTTGGGGCGGATGAACTAATAAAACACAAATTTAAGCAGGGTAACGTATATAAGGAATCACACTTACCGGGGTGTTACTTCGATGCGGCTTGGATGCTTTGCTGCTGCGTTGCGACTTCTGGCGGATCTCCTGGGGCCCCAGAGATGCGGTCCTGGTCGATGGTGCGATGGAAGAGAGCGGTGCGCGACTATATCTCACACGAGGTGAGGCGGTTACTCCTGGAGCTCGACTGCTCTAGGCTAATGCGGTTGAACTAGCGGTACGCGTGGGCACACCCCTCTAGGACACGACTGTCCTACGCGGTGTGGTTCCAACTGGCGGCCGAAAGGAAGAGATCGCACGAGGGCTGTGCGCGCACTTATATTGATTCGGTCCTTCTCTCTTCTAATTGGTTGCGAGAATCACGTGAAATTCTAGAACTTTCTTCTTTCCCCTCTCACCCCCACAACCCCGGTGTGTCGGAGGGACCATAGGTCATGGAAAGGACAAAACTCTTGGCAAGCCTACCTTTGAATAAAATAAAATACGAATAGTTTTCCGGGCAACCACAATGCAATTATCTAACTTCTAGATTACGTATCGCATAATTTAAAATATAGAGAGGGGAACTGTTTAAGAAATGCGAAAATAAACTTTAATTTACTTTTTTTAGTATTATGAACTAATATTAAGAACAAATTATTAGATCTCATTAACAATGATATGATATTGTTTGAATAATCGAACGATTTCGTTGATTACTATAGTTGTTGTCTAAGCTACTTACTTCCCTGTCTGCGAAATAGACACAATAGTTAAACAATCGAAATGTTCATATATGACTCATGGGACAGTGAAATGGTTAAACTGAAGTGACTGTACCACTTTAGTGCACGTCACGTTTTTCTAATGTTTATTATTTTCTTATTTGAAAGTTTTGTACCGTTTTTATGCCTAATGGCCACGAATTCCCAGGTGGGTGGATACAACTCCGAGGAAAAATTACTTGATTTTATTTTGCTCCTCGTAAATATCAATCTTTCTTATTTCGTGTTATTCGCGGGCCTATATTCTTTAAGGTTTCTGATCATTACTGAAAATGAACAGTGTGGTTCACACAACGTATCCTAGATGATTCCTTTTGTTACCTTTTCTTTGACGTAATAAATCAAATTTATTAATGTATGTATTTTTTTCATTAAGTTATAAATTTGTAAATCAATGGTCTGCGCCAAAATAAATTTTAAAAAACTTATAACTCCAGCATAGCGTCAACACTTTCATGAATCGTCGCGCCTTGTCACTAGTAACTGCATAAAGCGCATTATTATCGATATTTGGTTTTATTTACACAATAAAGTTGACAAATGAGCACACAGTCCACCTGAACGTAAGTGGATTCTGTGGCCCATAGAAATCTATATTTATCCTCGACTCAGAATCAAAATGCAGATGCATTGTCACCCCTACGGACTAAGATGCAATGCGTCATATCCATATAAAAGGGTATCCGGTTCTCTACACTCACCATATGAAACACAGCAGCATTAAACTGCTTTTTACGATGATATTCTGTGATAGCGTGTTCCTTCCCGAGTCCTGGCAACCTATTCGTGCTACAACCAAAATATAACTGCAGCATGTCTCTCCCACGTGAAAAGCTTAGCTTATTTTTTTATAAATGTTTATGATATTACTTTAATATTATTATTATTTGTTTTATTACATTGACTTTAAGTTATGACAGCATAGAATATCGATATGTCAAAGATGGTCGTTTATCTACAGATTACTAATGGGCTTCCTTAGTAGTGAATATGAAAAAGTTAAAAATATAATAATGTAGAGATATACAGATTTGTTTTAGATTTATGAAACTATGTTTTTTAATATTTATCTGTATTATTGAGTTAGAAAACATAAATTATCCGAAGGAAGATGATACTTTCCATTTATTCTATTGATATCTTTCCTTTTAACTGAGTTTGTTGCATTCGTTATGCTATCAAAACAAGCGTATTTTTAAATCATTTTAAAATAAAACGAAAAAACAAAACCCGTAGGATAATTAGTGTATTATATTTTGAAACAAAAACGTAATGAACACGATGACTTTTTTGTATAGTTAAGGCGTTTTGCATTCGTAAATTATACATAAATAAACTTCCAAGAGTGGAACAACTTGTTTCATGTGGGATTCCTATTTCAAATTAGGATACATCATAAAATAAAAGCTCAAGTTGTACTTAAATATATATTTAATTTCTTTGATAAATTTTTAATCTATGGGATTATATAAAGGCTTAGATTTTTTTAAACACACACAATACCATCTACACCATCTGGATGCTTGGCGTTTCACCACTGTATATTTTACCAGGAATTTTCTTTCTTGTACGACCCTCTGTGAAATTGTTTACCACCGACTATTTTCCCGACCAATGCGACTTAGGGACCTTCAAGAAAATAGCTTACTCCTATCTGAAAGACCGACAATGCACCTACATTTCTCGTGGCGTTGCAGTTGTTTATGGGCGGCAGTAGTCACCATCAGATAAGCCACATGCTCGTTTGCCCCCTGTTCTATAAAAAAATAAAAAAAGATTTATTTAATAACTTTGACCAACTTCTGGTCATTCATTATTAAAAAAAAATTAAGAAAAGTCTTCACTAGATTAAAATCTAAACTGTTAATGTGATTACTTTTTTTCGCACTGGCTTGATAATTTTTGTATAATTTGTCCGGACATGACTTATTAGTGGCTTGTATTTACCATACCAATTTTGTTTAGTAGTAAACACTTGTCTATTTTTTTCCGTTGTAGCTTGAACGTGGTCTTCGTCATTCGAGACTTTCGATGCTATCGTCTCCAAGTGTTTCCTTAACATAATTTCGAGGTTTGATAGTTTTATGTTCTTTTTCTTCAAAGGAACGTTGTATTTCTTGGACTTCGCTTTGCTGGTCCATTCTTTTCTTGGAAAACGCTTCTTCTGTGGTTTTGATACCTCAACTTTTACTTTGTACTTTACTGTTACATTTGCCTTTTTTGCCAAGTCGCTTATGTCATTTAAGTATTTTTTGAATTCAGCTTCGGCGGCATTTCCACCTTTTATTTCGAACCGTTTCGGTATCTCACTTAAGTGACCCATTTGTGTTTGAAACTCATGGTGTTGTGCTGAAAAGATTACAGTTAAATACTAATAGCATGAGAAATAATAATCAGAACTGTGTGAACAACATTGCACCGTAAAAGAAATAACTTCATCATCATCATCTTCACTACGACTCTTCACAGGTCCACGGCTAATCATATAGCTCCACTTGTTGCCACATTTAGCAAGCGGGGACTATAAAGAGAGATGAGATTCTATCAAATACTTTTGCATTTGTGTGGAGAAAAATGTTTTATCTTTTTTATTTTAAAGAAATTTCCGTAAGGATTTATTTTATTTTGTTAAAGATTTTTCCCAACACCTATTTATAAAATTGGATAGTAAGTGCTCACTTAAAGAATGAAGATGTTATACCTGTCGCCATTTTCAACTTGCGACGGAAATTTGGAATAGTAATTGAAAACAATTAAAAATATTATCTAAATTAAAAGAAGCTCATAATAATAATAAAGCTGATTTCTAAGTTATGGTTTCGTACAGATAAGAGTAGTAGACTAATATGCACCTCACCTGATGGTTAGTGGATATTGCGGTCCTTTGATATCTTTCATTGATTAAGAAACGAAATACAGATACATTTTTACCCTGAGGAGTTAGCTTTGGGGTAAAAATGTATCTGTATGTTAGGCTTCGTAGCTTAGAGGCTAAACGCTCGCTGTGAATATCACAGCACCTGAGTCACCCAGTTTCGATTCCGCCGAGACCGAATTAAATGGTTGATTTCAGTTTTGAGTGCTAATTTGCAATATAAAATGCGGTAAATGAAAACATTGTTTAGAACGTGTATATCTGGAAAATGAAATATTTCGTGGACACATCGAAGCAACACGATATACATAGTGCTCTAAAACTCTCTCAAATTTAAGAGGATGCCTGTGCGCAGCGATGAGCGTATGGGGTATATAATGTGACATTACAACATTTATTACCCTTAGGACTACTTGAATATTACAATTATTATACTACAGAATTCATCGTTGTCCAGTGATCTCCACGTGATATGCTATCGGTAGTCGTATAGAGCCAACTTATTCAAACTGAAGTCACATATAGCTGAAGGGCTCCCCACATACTATTGCCAAATCAAATAAACGAAATACAAAAATAAAAATATTTTTCACAATAGAAAATAACATACAAATTTAACTCACCTCCAGAACAAATCTGAACACAAACAAAACTCGTAACAAATGTTAGCGATTTTAAATTCATATTTTTATTTCTATTTCAGTGCATATTCCTTCTATTGCTACGAATCTCACGAATTAGTAATGATTTATTCAGCCACAGGTGGCTTATATCGCGAGTTACGTAGAAAAAAGGTACAAATCGGAAACAATACCATTTGTTTCATTGAGCGAGAGTAGATTAACACTACGATTGCCGGCGGATTTAAAAAATAGTTTTAGCTATAAATCTTTATATTTATTTCGAGAGTATACAATTAAATTTAAAGTGTTTAACAAATTAAAACAAAATAATATGTTCATGCATTTAAAAAATAGATTTGAGTTTTCAACATGAAACTGGTAAAAGGTTGGTAGCCGCATTTTTCTTTTCTTAGTTATCAGAAAGATATACACAACACTTTGAAATTCAACGCATAACCAATATTCTTGTGCACAAGGAAAGATTAACATAAGAATATATACAAGAGTAAAAAATATATAAGATTATGAATATGTAATATTACAATAGCCAATGAAGAAGAAATTTAAGTTGATTCTAGACCGTGAATCGAGCGTTAATTAACTCAAAATTTATTTTTATTCTAATATAATGTAAATAAAATTATTAAACCATACCCTGGTAGAGTTTAGTCTACATTTAAGATGGTTTTCTCGTAATTGCCACGCATGACTATTGGATTGGCGAACACATTTAGTTGCCGGCGCATTACCCGTACTAATAGTTTAAGTCCTGAATAAAGGTTGTTGTTATATATTTCGTTGTTAACAACCTTTATTCAAAGGGTTTCTAATGAAGGAAGACGTGTCGTGCAGTGGAGACTGCGTTTAGGAAAATGTCACGTAGGATGCCAACAGACCAGATGTAGTGACGATCTGCATGCGATTGACTGACAACAATTGAATACGTGAAGTCGATATAAAAAATCATTGTTATTGGAATCGTTTTGTCATAAAGCCGTAAGTTGTGGTAGCTCGAGGGGAGAGGGCACTAAGCGATGCGAGCAATTCACACTCGTTCTCCACCAGTAACAATAATATTGTTAATTGTTATCTTAAGTATTGATTAACCACGTTCTCAGCGGGGAAGGATGCCGACAGTCAACTCTTGTCATCACAGGGCGCCCCACGATTTCTCAAAACCCCCCGCCCCCCACCGGGAGCCGACCTCTTGCAGACATATAACCTCTTCTCCCCTTTTCCTTCCGCTTTGCGCCGCCAAAGGTCTAGGGGCCCCTTTTCAAACGCCCATTTGCAACTTTTTTCTATGGTGTCTCATCTTGCATACCATATTTATCTCTTATCACGCAATTTCTCACCCTGTCATTCAGATTCAACCCTAGCATACTCCTTAAAGATCGCATTTCTACAGCATTTATTCTACTTTCGTGTTTCTTCTGCCACACCCACCTTTCATTACCATACATTAAAGTAGGGACTAACACAGCATTATGAATTACCATACGTGCCTTTTTTGACTCATTCTGATTCTTCATAATAGAGTGTAGTGCCCCGTTCACTCTGTTCCCTGGGGGATGAGTCGCTCGCGTCCGTAGGCTTCGACCACCTAACCTTAGGCCCACCCTACATGTGTCCCCCGGGTGGTGCTAAACGAGCGATAAAGCCGAGGGTATTGTTCTATAGACTATAATAGGTATTTTCCATTACTTTTACTGTCATAAACGCTAAGCCTGGGAATTTTTGTAACAAATTTAATGTTATATTTATACTAACGTAGCTTTAGGTGAACATTAGTCCCAAAATTATAGAATCGTAAGATACAAATATACAAGTATAATTATTATTTCATATTTACCTCATTTCATCTCGATGTATGCTAAAACAAACTGTGGCAGATTAACTGTTGTATAATGATCAAATACTTTAACACTACTCAATTTTGAGATGTCATCAAGCCTCGTGGGGTCACAAGTGATATAGACAGCACGAGACCTTGGCGTTTGAGTATTTGGGCGTATACATATTCTAAAAGCGACAAATGAAATAAAAATAGAATAATGAAAGTATGAAAAAAATAAAAGCTGTATTCACTACGAGCGTTTAATGCTACAAATTATAAATGAGTAAACATATAATGAGATTTTAATACAATCAATATTTCTTACACGCACAGCAGTGAAAAGGTTATGACGGTGAAAGGTTATAAAAATCATCGGCAATTCACATCCCAAACGTAGCGATTACATCATTGCCTTATAACGTGGAAGAGGTATATGTCCATAAGAACACAGTTCAGTCCAGTCAAGAGTAGTTGGATACGTTAAGTGATTCTGTCAACTTCCATATTAGTTCTCATATCTCTGTCACTTCCTACATAGTGTTACGGCGTCTTATTACTAATAATATAATTCGTCCGTAATAATGTAAGCAATTAAAATGTATTAATAAGCACAAAGTTAAAGAACATTCATTTCAAACATTAAGTATTATAAAAAAAGTAAAAGATTTTTAAAGACATTAAAAGTCTTTAAAAATTCATTAAATTTCAGTTTAAAAATTTCTGAGTTATTGAAGGTGTTTTTATAATGACGAAGCATGTTATTGTGTTGCTGAAGCGTGTTTGTTCTGATTGCTTTTATTGGGGATCTACCAAAGACATATATATGGGGTGGTTAGGTAGCCGACAACTAAGGTACTATTACACAATGTAGATTCCTGTATTAACTTGCTCGTGGAAATCGGACACCCATACCGATAGTGGGCGGCGTTTTAGTGCATAGCGTTATGATGCGTCGGCTATCTTCCGGATTAGGGAGAGTGTGTTTGGAAGTACTTTTAAGTGCAACAAGCATACTCTAATACTAATAATAAATATAATTGTAATGCAATAGCTCTAGGATATGTGGATTTTTGGTTACTGGCGTCTTAATAGCATGCTACTATGACACGTTGGTGCTATTTTTAATATAACAACAGTACCAATTTTGTTGCCAAAGTCAATAAGAATCATGTATGAGAGAGCGCCATCCGTATGATAGTTGCATTAATGCTTACTGCTACTTATGTTATTGCATCTTGTGATGGATCTACCGGTTTGCTGCGCCTGATTCGAAACATTTTGAGTCTATGTAAGTTCCAAAATTAAGATATTATTTTTATTTTATTTAATCAAGCCGTTTAGATTACAGAGAATATCAAAGAAATACACATACTCGTACACACGTATAAACACGCTCTCGAAAATTATTACCCTCCTTCTGTGGTAGTCTCTTAAAAAAGGAGTCACTATCTATTAAACATAATATTTTATTGAAACTTGCTATGCCCGAAGTAACACTATAGTGCAATAATATGCCTATGGGACATTATATCCACTTACCATCAAGTTCGCTTACGCTCCTCCCATCTATATTATATACAAAAATAAACTAACTAACTAAACTAAACTAAACTAATGCAAATTACGTGACCAGGCTAATAAGTATTGATTTTTCTCAAAGATCTTTCTAAAGGTCGTTTGTTATATTTATAGCGTGATCGCCTCAGTTAGAACCCTTATTTACGTTGTTTTTGTTTAGTAACATAGTTCGTTCAGATGTCTCCTTTTCTCCTATCTTTATTCCTCATAATTATTGTAAGCTAAAGAACCCCGTTCACGAAAAAAGTGCTCATATAAGTTAAAAGCGTTAAATCGTCCATATTCCACTCGTATCAGTTTCACATCAATCAATTTTTTATAATTAATCCCTTTCCGCTTGGAAATAGCTCACAATATTTGTATAAAAATACCTAATACAAGGGCTTCGCTCTCTAACATTTAAAAAAATG